CGCGCGCAAGTGGCTAAAGTCATAGTTGCCGCGCCTCAAGTTTTGGGCCTCAGCATCGAGGCGAATCTGAGACCTACCGTGGCGTGGCTTGAAGATGTGGGCCTGAGCCAAGTGCAAGTGGCTAAAGTCATAGCTGCTACGCCTCAAGTTTTGGGCCTCAGCATCGAGGCGAATCTGAAACCTACGGGGGCGTGGCTCAAAGATGTGGGCCTGAGTCAACCGCAAGTGGCTAAAGTCATTGCAGCGTTTCCCGCGCTCCTAGGCAACAGCGTCCAGGGCAACTTGTGGCCCAAGCAGCGGTTTCTGCAAGATTCCTTCTCATCTAGCGAGGTCTGTGACATGATTGTATACCACCCTCCGCTGCTCGCCTACAGCTTCGCTCGTTTGCGTCATCGGCTGCATGTTCTACAAAGGAATGGCTGCTCCAGGAAACTTGCCAAAGTCATGTCATTGACGGACTCCAGCTTTGAGCTGCGGTTTCCTGAGCAAAAAGTCTCAGCACTGCATGGGGGTAGAAGAGCATACATGAGTTACGGAGTCAGTTTTTGTTCCCTGTGTCTGCGAGACTTCGATAACAAGGGTGAAGGAAGAATTCAGGCCAAGGGTCGGAGAACATGGATTTGCCACAGTCGGGGTTCAGACACAGGACTGGTACGGTTCTTCGAACCGTCCGTACTCAATGCAAGTTTGGGTTCGAAGGGTTACTCGTAAGATTCTGATATAAGATTTTGCATGACGGGATGGGAGGGGTCTTCCAAGCAGTGCTCCGGGACTTCTGCCGCAGTGCGATCTGCCGATGTCCCCAGCCGCCGCAGGAGTCGGAATGATTGGGGCAAAGGCAAAGCCATTGCCCAGCGCTCAGTGTGTTAAAGTGTGGATGTTGGTGAGTTCAGGCTCAACCCCGAACCCCAAACTTGAATCCGAAACACCGAAACGTCTGATATTGAGGGTGTATAGTCTGCGTCGTACATGGTTGTCGCCTGTGGGCCCACTTGTCAAGAAGAGCATCTCTGGTCTCAGCAGGGCTTGACTACCGAATAGGTTGGCCTAACCTCAACAGTTCTTACTGCAAGCATTGCCTGGGTTCGTGCTTGGTCAGTTGAGGGCCCAGCGGCTCTCGCCCCTCAGCCTTGTAAGACTTGAGAACCTCGCCGCATTCTCGCCCAAGCCCCGGCCAGAAAGTCCTACGCCGCAACAAGGAACATGGGGATCAGGCCTAGGGTGAATCCCGGAGCCTGCACAAGCGCTGCCGCCGCCTCCCCTGCCCGGTCAAGATCCAACGCTAAATGCCCCTTAATTTAGGACTGTACCGGCTTCATACTATGATTTAAGCTAACCCGAAACCCCGTAAGCTATCACTTTTTCTCAAAAGTTCGGGGGGCCCCGACCTTCCATTTTTAGCAAAACTCTCTGCCAAGCCCAAGCCCAGAGGCACCTATCTCCACGCAACAAACTCTCCTTAGGCCTGGAAGTGTCAACGATTCTTCTCGGTGTAGTATCCTTACAGTTGATGGTATAAAACCTGCATTACCCATAATGAGGAATATACCATAATTCCCATAATTTCGAGTCCTTCTGGTAAGGCAGGATTTATATCGTCAACAGTATGACATGTTATGAACATCAGGGTTCCTTAGGGTCTTCACTCATCAGAAGTGACGTTGTCTTTGTTGATACCACGAGTACGCAACTTGGGCGCCTTTCATGGCACTCTATCCCGACGTTTGACTAATACAGCATACTATAACTATAACTATAGTAAGGA